CGAAAGGAGCAAGAAGGAGACCAAGTTGTGCTGGTGACATAAGTGGAGAAATGACCTCCACATTTATAGTGTGATGATCTGCAGTAAACAGGCTAACTCTTCCAAGTTATCCCTTTGATGTGAGCTGGAACTGAAAGGCTGCAACTCATGTGGAAATAACAATAAATGCTCCTAAAACATTTATCTGGTACATTCCAAACACGCTGCCATTTTACCTAGGGCAAGGAACTTAGTCAACTACTCTGGCATACGTACTGTGAACCATCTCAAGAATACCTAACAGTGGCTCACAGGTTGACATCAACAAGCATGCTTGGAAGACACATATGGCCCTGGCACCATCCAGTGGAACTGCATGGAGACAAAAGATAAATACTATTAGGGTTTGCTAAGACTAATCTGCATTGTTTGGGGCAAATCTGTACTTTTACCACACTTTTTAACTTGTTGTAAATCTGTTGTAAACAAGCTGTACAGCGGCTGCAGATCTATAAATGTTTCAATTGTTAAGGATTTTATTGTAAAGAAGAATTACATTGTCTGCTATCTTACAGCTTTGCAGCAATCCTGAAGATGGAAGCACCAAGCTGATCTTATCTAGCCTCAGATGCTAAGCAGGGCTGGGCTTGGTTAGAGCCACCAGGGATCTTGGCTCCATCTTTATCTGACCCACAGCCCAATCTCCATGGTCTGCATCAGCCAAGGTAGGTTTCTACAAGAGATAGGAGGAGGAGGATCAAGGCTTTCCAGCCAGAGGCAAAAGCACATGGGAAAGTTGACCACAGAATAGACTTTCTTCCACCAAGTAGTTCTGCTAAGGTTAGGTTAGCCACATAGCTTAATTTAACAGAGGACAGCCCTCTGTTTCAAAGAGTGTTTATTTCACATTCAGTAAAGAAATACAAGAGGTGACCTTGGGGAAGGAATGGATGAACCATTATGGGACATGAAACAGCAACTCAGTCCTGGGAAAGTCCAAGAAAGAGACTCAAACTAACCCCACCTTGATTCTATTTGGTGTACAATGGGACAGAGAGAAATACTGACTCACTTTCAAGATTCTTATTATTATATCTTACAACAATAAAGTAGCATTCCTGGAATCCCTGTGGTATCTGTTTCCTGACCTGATCAATACAGTTCTGGAGTCCTCTTTAGATAATATTCTGAAACCAATATTAGTGGGATCATTTTAGTAGCTATGAAACCTGATGACCTCTCCTGTTCTATCTTCCTAAACGTAGTGCATATTAAAGCTTCCAATGGCAATACACTTCTAATTCTGAGAAGGTAATCATTACAAAATTGATTTTAAAAGTGAGCCAGTCCATCATTAATCCCTACAAGAACTTTAACTTCAGTATGTGGGATAAAAGAAGACCCCCGCAAAAAAAATCCAGTTGTCCCAAAAGTGCTAGGACTTCCGAAGCTAAAAAATCAAACCAGGCACAAGTTAAATCAGGCAATGGTAGTCAGAGTGTTTCTATCTTCCTGCTGTATGATAAACAAAATAACTCAGTTGCAGCTGAGCCTCTTGTTAAATCTCAAAACTGAGTCAACAACCTGTTCTTGTGGCTTAGAGCTTTGATGTTGATTTTGTTCTTTCCACAGTTGAAAAGAGAAGGACTTGTGCAACAGTCCTTTTACCAAATACAATCTTAATCCCAGAATCCAGAGCCTTTTGCTGTTGACCGGTTAAGCCAGTTAAGAAGAAAAGGATTTGATTAAGCTTTGCATTGCAACCCTAGAAATTAAATCCAGCATTTTTTCTGGACTAAGCAGAGGGTTCTTTTTATCTTGGCTGCTGGTGCTTATTGTGGGTAACTCCACAAAGTGTGGGAGGTAACAGTCTCAATATGAAACAAAATCACAGACTTCTACCGCTTATCTAATGGATGCTTTGTCTGATCACTGTAGTTCTACTACAATACATCTTCTCAGGTGAAGTATTAGTAGGTCTGCAGATGCTCAAAAAGTCTGGGAAGCAACAAATCCAAAAAATACTTTGGGGGCTGACCATTGGACAAGAAATACGGAAGTTCATCAAGAGAGCCTACGTCGTCCACTAATATAAGAGATAGCCAGAACATCTCAAAGGAAATTTCAAAGATCATTGGTTCAGAAGAAAGAAGAACTAATGTAATGTGTTACACCAGTTTATTTGAATTGTGATTTGTTGAATAAGCTACTATGTAAACTGGCCTATAAACCACAATGGCCAGATTCACATAGCACACCAAGCCAAAACTAATAAATTACATTACGCTCAGCAAGATATGTGAACTCAGGTTCCATGTTATGAAGAGGTGCTCCCCGCTTCCATATAGCACAGCTATCAGGCCAACCTTCTTTGATTTAGAAAACTAAGGAGGGTTGGCCATTGTCTGGTCTTGGATAGCAAGCCACTTGGGAAATCTAGAATTGCAAGCCAGCTTGGGGTCACGAAAAAAAACACACCCTATAAGAAGACAATGACAAGCCACCATCTTCTATAGTGTGCCCAGAAACCTGCTACATGGACGTGTCCCTGTAAGTCACCAGAAATCAATCTTGACTTGAAGGTCACATTACTTCAAAGTGATTAAACCTTTCACTTTACATTTCAACATGGACGAATGATAGCTGTCTTATCTATGGTTTAATGAAACAGGTCCACTTCAAATTGTAATTTATGAAGCCAGTTCATTTCAGGAAATCATCGCAATTAATCACAGGTTTGGTTCCTGTTCACACGACACTGTAGTTAGCATTCAACAGCAATGACCTGAAAATGAAGCAAACTCCACAATCTTCAATGGATAGTGTTGTACAAGGTACCCATACAATATGAGAGGAGAAGGGAGAAAGGAAATGTGACAAAGCAACTAAGGGGGAAAAAAACCTCTTCCAACATAAAACCCGAATCTGCTTTCCTTGGAGCAGGCAACAGTGAGAGAAGATCTTCTGTGTGCATAAAGAAAGAGTATCAAAAAAGAATATTCTAATGCATACGAAATAGCACTACTGCTGCTAAAAATACGTTTTGAATGTTATGCTAGTCTTAACAGGAACTTTATTGGCCAGGTTTCAGAAGGTCCCAATATATTTCTTTTTGTCTGTAGATTTATGGTTAAAATATTGAAATACAGAGAGAATAGAAAAAAATGAATGTTGAAATGCAAAGAAAGGGGGGGGGGAGAGAAAAAGAAAAGCAAAAGATACAGAAAAGACTGCTGCATTCGAATTTTTAAAAAGTGAAAAAAGAAAAAAAAGTTAAAGGTCACTATATTGTTGAAGCCAATACAGTGATTTTGACCCATCGATCTGTCATTAGGCATTACATAAGTTTTTTTTTTTTAAGGAAACATCCACTCTTGAAATGTTCTTTCAACTTTTTAAAGCAGTGTTTCTCAACCTTGGCCGCTTGAAGATGTGTGGACTTCACTTCCCAGAATTCCCCAGCCAGCATGCTGGCTGGGGAAT